AGGCAGGGGACACCCTGGACAGGTCACCAGTCTATCACAGGGCTAAACTACAACCAAGCACACTCACATTCACACCTACAGACAATTTAGAATCACCAACTAACCTCAACATGTTTTTGGACCTTGTGGGAGGAAGCTGGAGAACCCGGAGAGAACCCACGCTGCACGGGGAGAACATGCGAACTCCACGCAGAAAGATCCCGGGTGTCCTCACCGGGACGCAAACCGGCGACCTTCTTGCTGCGAGGCAACGATGCTAACCACTGATCCACCTTGCAGCCCAGAAACAGATTCATTCATTTCATAAATAACAGTATCGATAATCAGTCGACATCTACTTCATGGATGGCCAAAAACTTTAAAATGAGCCAATTATTTCACATAAAAGCAATAAAAAAATTAAGAAAAGTCTGAAAATATAAATGCGTAGAAGAATTCTGTCTTCTTTTCAACAATAATAATCTTACAGCTCTTCAGATTTATGTCGTGACCCTTTGGAAGAGATCTGACCTCTCAGGTGGGGACCACAAAATTACCAAATTGTACACAATCTAGTCCGTAGGGTTTTGGAACAGAGACACAGTTTTCTAGTTTTACTTCTGTACACCAGCATAACTGATTTGAAATGAACCAATCAAGATGTATTAAAAGTGCAAACTTTCAGCTTGAATTGAAGGGGTTTTACAAAAATAGAGCATTTACTGTTTAGCCAGTTTTTCCACACTCACGTCATCTTCTCAGGCTCAAAACTAATTGGACAAACAAACATAAGATTTATATAAGGATTATTTTTAATACTTGGAAGGAAATCCTTTGCAGCCAATGACTGCCTGAAGCCTGGAGCCCACACACATCACCAAATATTGAGTTTCCTCCCTTGAGACACTTTGCCAAACCTTTACTGCACCCACCTTCCCTTGCTGCTTATTTGTGGGTCTTTCTGCCCTCGGTTTTGTCTTCAGTAAGTGAAAGGCAGCTCAGTCGGGTTGAGGTCAGGTGTCTGACTCGGCTAGATAACGACAGTCTGCTTCTTTGCCTTAAGAAGCTCTCGAGTTGCCTTCGCGGTATGTTTTAGATCTTTATCCAGCTGCACTATGAGGTGAGAAGCATCTGAGCAGAAAGTAAAGCTCTGTTTACTTTCGGGTTAATCCTGTTATCAGCGATCATATCATCAATAAACACCAGTGACCTGGAGCCATACAGAGCATGACATGATACTGCCTCCTCCGTGTCTGACAAATGATGTGCTACGCCACGGATTGAGAGGCCTTCTTTTTCTTCCCCACACTCTTCTCTTCAAATCATCACGTCTATCTGGGTTTTATTGCTCTAAAGAATCTTGGGCAGGTTTTTTTTTTAGATGTTTTCTGGGCAAGTCTTCTTGGGCCTTGAGTGTCAGCGGCCTGCACCTTGAGTTAAACCCCTCTATATTCTTGACTGAAGACTTTGACGATGATGCTCCTCCAGAGTGTTCTCCCCACTTCTGAATAGTTTTTTTTCATCCCTTCACAAAGGAAGTAATTCTGTCAGCATCCACTTTAGTTCTCTTCCAGGCTTTTTGGTGTTGCTGAGCTCTCCAGTGCTTCTTTTTTAAGAAACTCCCAAGTTGTTGATCTGGCCACTCTTCTGCTGTCTCTGAATGGTTTGCCTAAAAAGCGTCTCCTCCACATGCATCAATAACTCTTTGTACAGCAAATAAAGAGTTCCGATGAGTACTTTCCAACTGCAAATGCAACTCTTGGAATCAACTCCAGACCTTTGAATCTCCTGAACTTCCTCAACATGAAACTGCCTTTCAGTCAGCTGTGAACCTGTGAAAATGGAGGGAATCTGGAAAACAGCAAATGCAGGATTTCTCAAACTGCTTGGATAGAAGCTGAAAGTCGACAGTCACATGTTTATGGCTTCCTTTCCAATCCATTATGGTGGTGCACTGAGGGAAAATTACAAAATTAGTTCCACTGTCTAAAATGCTTTTGCACCTGACTGTATATTGAGCAAAAACTATGTTGTCTGAATACTGACAGTAAAATGCTGCTTACACATTCATTTATAGGTGTTAGTGATCTATCCATCCATCCATTATCTATACACTGCTTAATCCTCATTAGGGTCGTGGGGGGCTGGAGTCTATCCCAGCTGACTTAGGGTGAAGGCAGGGGACACCCTGGACAGGTCACCAGTCTATCACAGGGCCACACTTAGAGACAGACAACCAAGCACACTCACATTCACACCTACGGACAATTTAGAATCACCAATTAACCTCAACATGTTTTTGGACCTGTGTGGGAGGAAGCCGGAGAACCCAGAGAGAACCCACGCTGCACGGGGAGAACATGCAAACTCCATGCAGAAAGATTTCAGTGCCCCCACCAGGACGCGAACCGGCAACCTTCTTGCTGCGAGGCAACAGTGCTACTAACTGCAGCCTGTTAGTGATCTAATAATATCATATATCAGTCAGAGGGGGCATTTTCTGCACTTGATGCAATACCTGAAGTAACTTCCTGGTGATGCTTCGATACTTTTGGCCCACTAGCTTTTACTTCTAACAAAGTATCGCTACAACATCAATATTACTTTTGCTTAAATTTACCTGAAGCAAGAGACACGTAGCTGCAAACCTCTGGAGGTCTGAGGACAGATTTAAGCTTCGACAAACAAAACCTGTTATCTTCAGTCTGTGGGATGAAGTCTGACACCGAACTGACACGATTTTCTTTCTTTTCATTTTCACAGCGAGCTACTTCCACAAAGTGATTGATGTTGAACCGTGATATCATTTCCCAAACTGTTTTTGAACTTTACATTTCTCACTTCTTCTTTTGCTTTGCTCAGTGAATTTCAGCTTTTTTTTTTTTCATTTGTAAAATGGTGAGAGTGCTGAGCTCAGAAAAATATAAACGCAGCAGACCATATATCTTAATACTACCGCTTCCACCACCAGCTATGCTGCGTCTAGATTTTTCTTTGAATATATAGTTTTTGAAAACTCATGTTTGTCCTAAAGAAAAAGGGGAAAAAAAACAGCCAACTGAGCATGTTTGTGTTTCCTTGCAGCCTCTTTAGCAGATAAGTTGCACGTTTTTTATGTAGGGCAGCAACTTACATTATCCTTCACCAATTACTGCTCAGTTAACAGTTGATTCTTCCTTTAATAAACACGTGTTAACACTTAAATTATCTGTAATTCACAAATATTCGAGCGCTATTTATTCACGACGCCTAGATTGACTGCATGTTTTAATTGGACTATGTGTGAATATTTTAGCCACAGTATTCGGTGGCTGTCAGCACTTTCTTCATAATTAAAATTAAGTGTAAGCCATAATTAAAGTGGCTGCAGATTACATTCAGCATTTCTTCATCATTAGCATCTTCATCACCCTTTAGTGCTGCTCATCCTGGAGATGTCCGGAGTCACATACTGTTTTAAAAACACACACACACTGGGTAGCAGGCGGTGGTGTTTGGTTGGTGTTTAACGAAAGGAAATTAAGGATTATGTAGTCAAAGCAAATCTAAAGTGATAGCGCAGTCTGTTTTCGAATTTCACGCATACATTATCCGGCGGATTGTGTTTCGTAGACGCCAATAAAGGTCTAATTTACATAAACTGAACAGTACAGCTGGAGCCTTGAGAGAGCGCGTAATGACAAGACTGGTAATGATATGCACCGAGGTGATAATATCTGATAGCAAATAGCACTAATTCATTCTTAAAACTCTTGCGTTTCGTCTTGTGATCTCTCTGTTGGTGTCCAAGCATGAAAATCGAAATGCCAGCAGCTTGAACTGAGTCACTCGACTAGATTAATAGTCACTGACACATATCCAGTATATCAATAGTGTGAGAGAGGCATAAGTCAGAGCACCCCCAGTGAGGATTTACTGCTTTATTTTCTCTGCTCGAGTTGTTGCGTAACAGTTCGTCTCGCTACAGCACCCATTAGGCTAATTGACACCTCTTGATTGAAAGAGAAAACTCCTGTCTGCAGCAGCTTCTGTTGGCCTTTTTTTTTTTTTGGTGGTGTTGTGACTTTCATCAAGGACACTCTCAAGGAGGAGACGTATTTTGTGTGTCTTCGTCGTGTCAGGATTGAGGTAGCGTTCGGCGAGGCAGATGCTGCTGATACCGTTGTCATGCGCGAGCCTTTCTGTCTAGTTGAAGAGTGTCATTGAGCTATTATTAGACTTTACAACCACCTGACAAGCACACACACAAAGACACAAACACAAGCACATTTCACTCTGCCTCATTTTTCAAAGCAACTTGTATTTGCATCCCCAGCTGCTTAGAAATGATAGTAATTGAGTTGTTTTCACCGTCTAGCTGCTGCGGCTACTTCGGTACAGGAGCCAAACAAGTTTGAACAAAGCGTTGATGTATTATTTACACCGTATCAATGATTTATTTTGGCCCGGTGACATCTGCGTACGCCCGTCCGGCAGAATGTGTTCTGTCGGATTTAAAAAAAAACGCCTAAAGAGACAAGGAAATGCAAGCCTCCATAGATGTCTGTGCCGCCTTTGTGGATGTCTCGCGCGCAGTAACAAGCTTAGTTTTGCCTCAGTTGTTTTTGAACCGCAGAGGGGGCTTCAGATGTGGCGCAATGTTGTTATTGTGATTTTTTTTTTTTATATCAAAATCCACGCTCAAGGTTCTCTGATCAGTGTTCAAATTCACAGCACACAAACTGTAAAAGCAGCAGAGCGACGGCGCGCTGACAAAACATCAAACCGCCCTTTGACTCCGGCTGCTGCGACACACTCCGGTCAGCCTCTAATTGGCTGGATGCAGGTGTTGCACAGTCTTTGTTTGAGTCCTGGAGCGTGACCTGGGGAAGTATTTTGGGAATGTCTGCAAAGACATTCTGCCTTTTATTTTTTATTTTTTGTTGCTGTTTGAGTTGTTACAGTACGATCAGATATTACATCTTAATGTGTTTGTTAAGGTTGAAAGCAGGAACTCGCAGGTCTTCATGCTGATGTTTCCTCAGACTCTGGTGAAGATGAAGGAGCCGGAACAATTAGTATTCCATCCATCCATTATCTATACACCGCTTAATCCTCACTAGGGTCGCGGGGGGGCTGGAGTCTATCCCAGCTGACTCAGGGTGAAGACAGGGGACATCTGCCAGTCTATCACAGGGCTACACTTAGAGACAGACAACCAAGCACACTCACATTCACACCTAGAATCACCAATTAACCTCAACATGTTTTAGGACCCACGCTGCACGGGGAGAACATGTAAACTCCCTGCAGATAGATCCCAGATGTCCTCACTGGAACGTGAACTGGCGACCTTCTTGCTGCGAGGCAACGGTGCTAACCACTGCCTCACCTTATATTAGGATGATCAATATCTTAATAAGGTGAAGAATTCAAGGACTGGTCAAACAGCTGCACTTGATTCACGACCAGCAGCGAGGTTTGCATCAGTCCACTCATCAGAAATTGCACAGGCTCCCAGAGTATCAGTGAACTGACTATAAATGTCTGCTGCTGCTTTATGAGACGCAGAGGGCTGCGATGTTCTGAAACATCCTGACCTCTCAGACCTTCTGCTCGCTGCCTACAGAGTCAAAACCAAACTTGGCTGCATTTAGTTGTTATGCGCCACATATCAAGAAGCAAGTCTTATAAAAGCTGAACTCTGATCCAACTCCCAGTTATTTTAAATTAGCCTTTAAATGTTGCTGTTTCATTTTGCCCTTGTGTCGGTGACAGCCGAGGTCAGCGGCATTAGGTTTTTATTTCGTATTTTCCGTCTATCTCCAACGGGTCTCTTGAGGGAATTTCCTCTTCAATTTTGGCAAAGGGCATTTACTTTAATTCCAAGGATGGTCGATTTTTGGCCGTCAAAGGTCACCGTGACCTTGAATAATTTCACACAACTGTCGAGCGGAAGAAAATGAAGAAATTGCTTTAAAAAATAAAAAAATGTTAAAGCTCAAGTCAACAAGTGCAAAGTCAGATTTTAGTGTTTAATGAAACTGTTTTAAAATCTTTTTCTTTTGCTTTATTTTTTCATTTTACTTCTTGTTCTAATGACCTTTAACTTCTTGAGTAAAGAGTTTTTGAAAGCTTCTTATACTACAATTAACTTTGCTTATCTTCTGTCCTTCTTGTCTTAGCAGCTAGAGAGAAATATCACAGAAATATACATATATATTGCAAATACACTAACAATAGTCATCCTGATCGACTTTGAAAGGTGATAAAATGTATTTAAAAAAAAAAAAAGGTAACAAAGCATTAAGCAAGACGCATTAAAAAGCAGAAACATTCATATTTACCATTTTAATTGATAATGTGTTCAGTAACTTATTTACCCATCATCCATCCATCCATCATCTATACACCACTTAATCCTCACCAGGGTCATGGGGGGCTGGAGTCTAGCCCAGCTGACTCAGGGTGAAGGCAGGGGACACCCTGGACAGGTCACCAGTCTATCACAGGGCTACACTTAGAGACAGACATTCACACCTACAGACAATTTAGAATCACCAATTAACCTCAACATGTTTTTGGACCTTGTGGGAGGAAGCCGGAGAACCCGGAGAGAACCCACACTGCACGGGGAGAACATGGAGACTCCACGCAGAAAGATCCCGGGTGTCCTCACCGGGACGCGAACCGGCGACCATCTCGCTGCGAGGCAACGATGCTAACCACTGAGCCACCTTACAGCTATTTACCCATCATGCTCTAGACTATTTTTTGAAATCACCCCTTTTTAAATTCCCACATCTAGTCACTAACACCTATCAAAATTATATGCCTTGTGCTTTATTTCAGGAGAATCCTAATGCTCTCTTGATAACATACACTTGAAGAATTTTGAAATACAATAAATCTTCTTATCCTTAAAAGTTAACTTCAAACAACTCCTGCAAAAGTTGCCATTTCTACTAATTAGATGGTAAATAACAGCTTTGTAGCAATGAGTCAGTGACACTGATGTTATTGGATCTGTTCTATAAATCCTCAGCTGCACCTCCACCAAATTTGACGTAGAAGAAATGAAGCACAACAAGTTTGATTGCACCCACAGAGGCAGTGAATGTGCCGCGCTTGATAACCATTATAAAACAGACACAGACCTCCGGTGTGGAAGAGGTTAATATCCAGCAGCATATTTCACAGCTTCTCAATTACTTAGTGGCTCCTTTGTCCTTGTGAATAGTAAGTGGTTTCTAAAAATCTACCAGCGGACGCTTCGAATCTACTCTGCAGATCAAAATCTGGGAAGCCTCTGAGCTCATGCGGTCTTTTTAATTTTCTCAAGTCCACACAAAACATCTCAGCGAGCGAGCGCTTAGCAGAATATTGTGAAAGTGTGCTGAGCCGTGAATGTAACCTGGCAGCTGAGAACTTCAGGCTTTTATCTTAATGCTGCTTCAACACTTTAATGAGAATGTTTGAAGAGACTTGGTGAAAGAAAATAATGTAATTCTACACAATGTATGCAGTATATCAAAGCCGGGGTTTAAAGGAGCTCAGATTCAATTTTTAATGCCACACTTAGGAATCCGGTACTGGAGGGATGATGTGCCTTTTATATAATTCAGACAGATCTTCAGTGTATTTATCATAAAATGTATGTTTTGTATTGGGCTTGAAATCCTCTCATTGTGTGCAAGCAGAGACTATATATACAATTATGTATAGAAAACACATAAAGCGTATAATTCAATCTCTATATCAGGACAGGAAGATGGCCCCCGTGGAGATTACATCAGCTTTCCTGCACCGTGTTGTGGTCTTATTCTATTTCTTTTTTCTTTGGCCTATTTCCTGTGCTGCATACACAAATAAAGTCGAATGCACTGCGAGAAAACACTGTCAACAAACAAACAAAACACGACAAAAAGTTTGAATTAATTTTCTGAAAAATAATTTATTTCCAGAGTAAAATAAACCATATGTTGCCATACAAAAAGTGTAAGAAAAGGGACAATGTCAAAACTGTAACTGCAGAGAGATCAGTAGAGTAACAGGTCGCGTGTGCCGAGTCACGTCGTCCAGGAATAAATTCAGTGCTGTTCGCTTCGACCTTGCGCACGCCGTCTATAAGCTTCACGTCAACTATTACAGGCCTAGTTCGAAGACACACGTTTTTCTTTTTGCCCCCCACACTAACGCAACATCCTACTTTCATCACTACGAATTGTCCCAAATCTTCCGTGACATCAGACGCACACATCCCAGATAATTAGATTATATATAATTTATACTGTCCTTTCAAACACAACCTAATAAAACATTCTGGGCCTAATGAAACAAATATATTACTCCTAATCTCCTTTACTCGAATGTCGAAACACATAAAAATATGACTTTAGAGTTTCTTCTTTGCTCTTCCACTAGGTGCCACGAGAAAATATAATTAACATTCTTAATTAATTAATCCCTTATTAAGACATATTAGGCTGAATAAACTCTGCAGATGTAAAAACAAACATGGAAGTGAAACAAACTGCTAGAATGAAAAAACAAAAAACGAACAAACCTGCAGTCTGACACGAGACTAGTAATAAACATCTCCGATATGAATTGCACGTTTGCACCTATGAGACGAGACCTCACAGTCTAGTCTAAGCAGTATCAAAAAAAAGAACAGTGTCTACGATCCAGCAAGAGAACAAGAAACTGAACAGTTAGAACATCTAGTAGGCCACTATAATAACCCAGTCAGGGTGTTTCTGTTCTCTTTTTGTAGGAAATCCTTCCTGCATTGAAATAAAATGCATTGACTGATGAACTATTAGTCTGTAAACACTTGGCAACTTTTAAATAACTGAAGAACCACCCAAACTCTTTTTTTTTTTTCTTTCTTTTTTTTTTTCTTCTCAATTAACCATAAAAATCTCATTTTTTTTGAGAGTGACAGACAGAACACACAGTGCTGACTGAAAGGAAGCTGTCATTTTTCACACGGATCACTGGAATCATGACAGACCTAATAAAAATCATATGGCATCTATAGTCGGAGTGGCGTCGCGTCCACTCGCTAAACGAACAACTAGGACTGAGCCACGCGGTGCTGTAGTCGTCTTCTACCACCGAGTCAACACAGGAATTCACTGGCAACACTTGACGACACCTCGCTGATACGTAAACGACTACAATGGACCCTTTCGATAAAGTTTACCGAGGACGTGGAGCCGGAGAGCGACGTCTCCTGTGACCTGAACCGATGGCCTTTATCAAAAAAAACTCTTTTATCCTTTCAAGAAAAGAACAATAAAATCATAAAATATTCCTTTGAGAGAAATATAAATGTCCACATTGTCCTTTTTTTTTTTTTTTTTTTGGAAATTTTTTTTTGCTTTACGAACTATAAAACGGACTCCATATTTTCACAAAACTCGTGGTCCTCTAGGTTATATATAAACTTTGTCCTGTCCACCAGTTTGGGGCCGTCGTTGAGAGACGGGTAAAACTCGGTCGGCGTCAGGTGTCCCTCGTGGCCTTTGATGTACTTCTTGTAGTTCCTGCGCAAGCAATACCACGTGGTGGTGTAGAGGAGGAAGGCGACGCCCTTGAGGATGATGGCGAGGCTCACGTACAGATGCCTGTAGGCCACGTTGTCGTACAGCAGGCAGGCGCCTCGGTCGCCGCAGTCCGTGCTCCAGAAAAGGCAAGTGGAGTCGATCCCAGCACCGAAGATCAGAGGAGGGGGGATGAATCCTGGAAAACAGAAAGACGTCTGTGAAGATTCTCAGTCATGCAGGTCATGGTTGTTCTGGTAGATTAATCGTAGCAACTGGACTTTGAGTTCCTTGAAGATGTGTCACCTCTCATCCAAGAGGCTTCATCAGTTCTGACTGACTAGTTGGGAGTTCCAGATACTTCTATCCTTGAAGAGCCATTAACACCTGAGTTTCGGTTTCAATTGGGGGGTAGTTACTCCTCTCATGGCTCTTCGAGGGTATAAGTATCTGGACCTCCCAACTAGTCAGTCAGAACTGATGAAGCCTCTTGGATGAGAGGTGACACGTCTTCACGGAACTCAAGCAAAGTCCTGTTGCTACAATTAATCTACCAGAACGGAAAACAGAAACACTTCCTGAGCACACTAAGTTCTTGGTCCACGCCAAACCCTGTTTTCTGTCTTTATGCTAAGCTAAGCTAACAATGTAGCTACACTCTATCAAAGACCTTCCCTTCCTTAACCCAGAAATTATTCAAACGGCATCACGTCATGTCTCTGTTCTGTACAGTACGCCTGCGTGCTTCTATATAACTCGATTTAGATTTTTATAATTCCATTACTTCTCCCACCTCCTGAATGTGAAGCAGTTTTTCCACTGCTGCAATTGTCTGATTTATTTGCTCGCTATGTAGAAATAAATAAAACCAACAGAAACATCTGAGGTCGAAGGAGACAAGCATTTGTTTGAGTGACAGTGTGGCCTCATTAACCGAAAGTCACGGCGAGCTCTGGTAAGACCTCCGCACGCTCGCAGTCTTTACGGGAACTGTGGCAAAATACTCCAAGCGTGAGTAATGAGACAGACCGATAGAATCTGAAAATTAATGTTATCTGATAGCGGCTCTTACCAAGCAGTCGTAGCAGCAGGAACAACACTCCGAGCGCGTAGGATTTCAGTTCAGGGCTCACGGTCCTTCAGAGGAAGCAGATAGAGACGAATGACATTGTTTAATCTTGCAAATTTATTCTGTGAATGAGATTTTCGAAAAAAAAAAAAACCCTCCTCGAGTGAAGCCACAACAATACCTGATTAGGATGATGACGGAGGGAGTCTGGGCCATGGCTCCAACCAGGCTGCAGGCACAGATCACACACAGGAAGATGAGGAAAGCCTCCTGGCAGCCCGGCATCGGACACTTCCCTGGAAGCGCCGTGCCCAGTTCGCCCTCGGCGGCTGATATACAAGAACATCCCCTCAGGTTCTGTGAAGCAAAAAGAGATGAAATGGTTCAATCGTGAGCCATTTGTACAATAACAAGTACATCACAGGGAACATATGTAACATCTGGCTGTGACATTTGGTGCCAAAACAGTGAAAACAAGTCATCTGAACGTTCTATCTGCACTTCAAAACACAAGAGTTGCGGCGAAAACTGCGGCAGTGAAGCAGCAGCAACTGATATTTTGTGCTGCCGAGCTGAGAGCAATTCTCTCTACATGTGATTTGAATACAGAAAGCATTAATCTGCAGTCAGCATCTGATCTTGAAACAACCACAGTAGCACTTGATTGCCCAGCATGCGCTTGCTGATGACAGAGCTACGAAACACTGGGACTCTGTCTGCTTTGAACTAAACACACTATAAAATACAAAGTGTGTTATATTTTTAATAAGTTCAGAGAACAGCGATCGGTTTGGTAGTTTTCTGTTGGTCACTGACGGCTGAGCAGTAATAAGGGGGGAAGGACCTGAGACGTGTTGGACGCGCTTCCCCTCGGGCTGCAGCCGGCGAAGCAGGCCGACAAGTAGGTGACGCCGTTGGAGCCGCACACCGGGCTGATGGAGGAGGTGAAGCAGTTGCAGTGATTGATGCACGGAGCCTCCGGTTTCTTTCCCACCGTTAGCGTCCTGAACAGAGACACAGAAGAGGAATCTCAACACCTTTCTCCACTCCACAAGTACCGACTGCATCCGTACGAGGCACAAACAAAAATCGAACAAGCACCCTCAGCCCTTTATCCGTGATACTATGGATCTCTGGTTCACTTTTAACATCTCCATGGAAACTGCACTGCACAGCTAACCTGCTCCGGAGCAGAATGGGTTCAGGGTACCAAATCAAAGAGTAGTAAAGCCCCAAAGTCAGTATTTCTACAGGGCCACTGTACAGATAAAAATATTGCTTTCACACTGAAATGAGGAGAAATAAAAAGTCCACAGTAAAGCTGGGTACTGAACCCAAATAGAATTTTTCTTTTTTTTGTAGTACAAACCAAAATGTAGAAACAGAATCTGTCAAGGATTTGATACTAAAGCTGTCACATAAAGAAAGGAACCCTGGACTTATGAAGATCTAAAGTGTTAGGAAAGAAAGGAAGTAAATAGCATTTGATGCATCACTTCCTCCCACTAACGCAGCGGTAAAGAAAAACGTTTTGCATCTTTCAAATATGAAAACGTCAAAACAAAAAAGAAAAAAAAAAAGGCTTCTGACACGTCTGTACAACACAAAACACAGGCGGATTTGTGCAAAAACTTTAACTGAGCACATGAAGAAAATCTGTTCCTTCTAAAGTGTTTACTGTGAACAGAACCAATTATTCTCCTCGTAATTCAACGTTTTCCTCTCCCATGCGACACGTGCTTACGATGTTGTTGTGATGAAAATGGCTGCAACTAATGAATATTTTAATTACGGATTCATCTGCCGACTATCGTCTCGATTACCTGATTAAATCATTTTGTGATCTATAAAATATTATTTCAGAAGAGTCATATTTAGTGATTCCAGGAACTGGAAGTCATGAATGTTGCGTAAAATGTTACACGAACAATTAACTGAGGAGCAAAATTGTTGCCGATTAATTTTTTTGGCAACAAAGTGAATAATTCATGTTGTTGCAGCTCTCGTTATGAAACAATGAAAAGATTTAATTATAAAGTATCAGTCCAGCACTGAAAGCTGACATTAGTCATTTTTACTTATTTTTGAATTAGATATTTACTGATTGAAACAAGACTTTTATCAATTCTAGCCTCTTTGACTTTAAAAGGACGTTGTGTAATTTGGGAAGTTTGGTCTCTTTCATTTGTCCTCAAAGCAACTTATACAAAAAGTGACATTTTATTATCTATACTACAATGTAGGCATTGCATTAGCGTGACTGTATTGTGTTTATGGCCTATTAGGACTTTTGTCCGTGTTTGATTTATTTCTATTTACTTTCTAAAAATGTAATGCTTGTCTGTTTCTAAACTCATAGTACATACTGTAGACATTTTACTATTTACATTTTTAATTAGTGTCTCTGTCGTCCTCTGTATAAACAAATCCTGCAGTTCAGGCGAGTTCAGTAAAAAGTCACCAAATAGTTCTCACAAGACTGTTGGCTGCAGTGGAGTCACTAACAGTATCCTGGTTGTGCAGAAGTGTTTGTTTTCTTACAGAATCTGGTTACTGCAAAGGGATTTTTTGGGGGAATTATTGAGTGACTTATGCAGAAAAAGCGTGTTTGACAAAATATCATGATTGTGAGGTTGCATTTAGTTAAAATATTTAAAGTTTTTTCCAGTGGAATGGCATGTGAAACATGACAATGTCTGGCTCAACAAATAGTGATATCTTACTGATTTTAAAAGATTAATCGCCTTTCAAGCCCACTGGTGTAGAGGGTTAATCTATTTAATTTTCCTTTTATTGGCTTTTTTAAGGGCTGCAAGGTGGCTCGATGGTTAGCATCGTTGCCTCGCAGCAAGAAGGTCACCGGTTTGCGTCCCAGTGAAGACACCTGGGATCTTTCTGCGTGGAGTTTGCATGTTCTCCCCGTGCAGTGTGGGTTCTCTCTGGGTTCTCCAGCTTCCTCCCACAGTCCAAAAACATGTTGAGGTTAATTGGTGATTCTAAATTGTCCGTAGGTGTGAATGTGAGTGTGCTTGGTTGTCTGTCTCTAAGTGTAGCCCTGTGATAGACACCTGTCCAAGGTGTCCCCTGCCTTCGCCCTAAGTCAGCTGGGATAGACTCCAGCCCCCCGAGACCCTAGTGAGGATTAAGCGGTGTATAGATAATATATTTATATAATCTATACACCGCTTAATCCTCACTATCCCAGCTATATAGATAATATATGTATAGGTAATGGGTGGATGGATGGCTTTTCTAATGTATTCTTCAGCTTGTGTAAAGAACCTGAAACTGACTCTGAACTCTGTTACACGATGAAAGTTGCCTAGACAACAACAGGCTACGATGAATTAACAGTCAGTGATAAAGTGGGTGCGAGTAGACTCACTGTGACTCATCTAAACTTATGATTGAAACATATACAGAAGGCGTTTCTTACAACACAATTAGAGTCGATCAATGCATCAGTATGAGAGTGAATGACATGTCCCCCAGTCTGACTCAATGAAGTCAGCTGCATTCATATTCAGTGTACGTGACCGTCAGTAACACAAGGCCGCTGTCTGAATACCGAATCTTTTTAAGGACTTGATGATACAAAGTTGTTTGAATAAAAACTGAATCCACTACGCCTCAATGACTAATAAGAGTTTCTGTTCACACATTTAGACTCGCTGCACTCCACCTCCAATAAAAAACCTCTGGCCTTGGCAGCAGTGTTAGTTTATTATTTATCATTTTGTTTATGCTCTTTTCATTCAGGAGAATAACTGGGACACGTGTTAGCGGTGAACTTCTTTCACAATCGAGGACGTGAAGAGCACAAAAATATTGAATTATACAATACCTATTGTTTATTGTTCATGTGCAGCCCGTATATAGCTCATCTTATCTTACATAAAATACGCTGTTCCTGATCTGCTGAAGCTGCATGTGATTGGTTAAAAGTTACATCGTGAGAACAGAGTAAGTTGGTTGAGTCATAAGACCAGTTATTCAGGAAGTTAAACTTTGAAAGACAAGATAACTGTGAGATAACCTCGTGTGAGCGGCATCTAGAGACACCATCATGATCAGACAAGATATCCTGAGTAGCAGAGCTCTAAGCTTTTACCTTTTTGGCTTGTTAACTCTTTACAATGAAGAAACGTGTACTAGTGACTTTTCTGTATATAAACAAGTTATCACTAGTTTAATCAAAGTCATTTCTAGTTTTATTTGAACAATTCAGTCAATAATAAAAGCAATACTTAGTGGGGGAACTTCATTTTCTCACCTTGCAGCACCTCCAGTTTATCTGATCTAGCAGCTACTGCCCTGACCTGTATTCCCTGTGAAATAGATTGATGTTGTGTCTTACTCGTTGCCATATGTGGCCGTCACTCCAGCGACAGGACCCGTGTCACAACCGAGGAAGAGGAAGGAGACGTAGCAGGCGGTGGAGATCAGGTTGACCAGCATGGCCATGCGGATGGCCCCCAGCGCCGACAGGTTGAGCTTCTTCACCAGCAGACCGCCCATGAAGATCCCCAGACAAGCGCATGGGATGGCTGTCATACCTTCAACACAAAGATGGCCAAAACACATTTATAACACTGGTACGTATTCCAATGAGTGTGTGTGTGACGTTGCTTGTGTGGCGTTTGCTCTGACCTAACAGCTGGTTTGCTGAGGTGGTGGTGAGGTTGAACTGCTGCTCGAGGTATTTCCCCAGAAAGGCGGCAAAGCCGGCCACGACGGCGATCTCCATGCAGGCCGCCAGGATGATGCAGGTGAACACTGGGTTGGACAGGAGGTGCTTGGTCACCTTGGGGATCACTGGTGATGAAGACATGAGGAGAGATGAGCATTGACATGGTGGCATGCTGCTGAGCAGGACAGACAGGACGGTATTGTTGCCTGTTCTGATCTCACTTGATTACATGTGTCTAGCAGTCAAACAACATCAATTATAAACTTCCAGAATCTTTACTTAGAGTCACAGCAGTGCAAAACAGACACATCTGAGATAATTGCAATGAGTGAAACCAGCATTTAGGTTCATTAAGTGTCTTTGGAAGAGAAGCTTCTTAAACTTGAAAGCAGCTGCGGTGGTGAAATATGCTGCAGCTGCTTCAAGTCGTGCACTTAGGCACACTTTTGAGGCACTTTATAAACCCAAAGAGATAAAGTTTAAATATAAATATGTGACAACTCTTGAGACTTTTGAAACTTTGGTAATTTTACTTTAGTATATTTACATGTGATGGAGAGGGATTGCTGCCATGACTACAAACTAACAATTATTTTATTATTGATTAATCTCACAATATTTTTCTTTTGAAAAACTGATTCGTTGTTTGGGCTGTAAAATGTCAGATAATGTTGAATAATCAGTAGATATTAGATTTACTGTCATTGAGGAGGAGAGAAACTAGAAAATGTTGGAATTTAAGAAGAAATTTAACCTTTGATTTCTTAAAAAAATTAACCAAACTGATCAGCCATTATTAAAACAGTTGGGAAATAATTACTAACTGACAACTAATTGATTTATCCTCGAAGCTTTTGTTGTTAGTTTTACTTTAAAAGCATTTGAATAATACTACTAAGCAGGTTTAACATCATAAACAGCAATAAACTCATAGTTTAACAATTTCATTAGAAGTGTTTTTCAATATAAAAAATACATTAATATATATATGAAATATATTTTACAAATTTTAAATGAATGTCTGTTCCTTTGCATAAACACACTGCAGCACTGCGCTGGATGCTCACCCCTGAGCTGCTGACAGCAGGTGGGGCTGTTGGCAGGCTCATGGTTCGGCATCACGCCGTTGCTGGGCTTTGGAGTCTCATACTCTGGGCTCAGAGAGGGAGGAAGCATGACCTGCTCGCTGTCTGCTCCTTCCTCTCTCTCCTTTGTTGGCAGCGACTGAGGGAAGCCGAACATCAGGAGAGCTGAGCAAAAGAGTAAGGCGCCACAGAGGAGGAAGCCTGCCCACCAGGCCCCGATCCACCGCGGGTCGTCCGGAGTGATGCCCAGCTTACCTGCGCAGGGGAAGAGTAAATAAATAAATAAAGCTCATACACAGAGAGGCACATGAAAGAAACAGAAGTGGAGGAATATTCAACTCACTGGTGTCGATGAAGATAGCGTCCACGTAGAATTTAGTGCAGACTGAGCCGAGGATGAAGCCGCAGGCGGGTCCAAACACCAGCGTGGAGAAAAGGATTCCTGCACAGAGACAAGATTGAGTTTTTATTCATGTGACACTTTCTGACAAAAACAGTAGAAATAGTAAATCATGAGAAGTTGTGTGTAGTGCTGTTTTTGACTCCTAGATGGTGCTAAACGCCTCTGATTGAAAAAAAAAGACATGGAAAAAGGATCCTCTGTACCAACCAGAATGACATGGACAAATGTCTTCAATAAAGTTTTATAGTGCTCTAAAATAGTATTAACCGCCTGAATCTCCAAATCCCCCAGCGGGTTTGAGAATCATGTTATCTAAAAAAAAAACAAAAAAACAAGTGATCTCCAAAGAAACATCATTTATCACAGCTGGAAACTGGGAAAAAAAAACAACCCAGAAGGAATATTTTTTTATTTTCAACTTTCTGAGAGTCCTTGAAGTACTCTGTACCTGTGACACACCTTCAGAAAACCAGTTTAAGATCATGAAAAATCACTTAAAATTATCACTTTGTTCTACATCCATCCATCCATTATCTATACACCGCTTAATCCTCACTCGGGTTGCGCGAACCTGCAACTGGCGACAAACTGTCACTGGGTTGAACTGCAGGTTGTGTTTACACAGAGCAGCCAGGAGACAAGTATCGGAGTAAATTATAAATGTAAGCAGCAAAATATCTATAATATGTAGAGTTAACATTTTCCCAGTGTTGGCAACACATGGAGGCATTTGGAAAAGTGTTTTAGTATTTTAATTGCAACTTTTCCTATAATTTATGGCAACTTTCATAGTGCACAAAATACAGCTTTGAGTTCGCTCTACTTCTGGTACATTTGTGTCATTTCCGTAGAGATGCAGGACTTTATACTGTATAAAATATGTAATACTGAAAAATGAACCTACAGCGAGTTAAAATATGACAGGAGCAAAAAAAAACATCCAGAAAGTGCTTGAAGTTCAGAAGAGTAAGTCAGTGAAATCATGAAATATGTAAAAATGTAGCTGAAAAAAAAACATGTTTTAACTTTACAGAATATTTTTTCATTAATTCTTTTTTTATGAACTGATCATATCTTTTTACAGTGCATACATAACTTGAAAATGGGACAAAATATCCATTACAAAACAAATTTAAATGTCTGGTGTTGCCTACTGAGATGTTTGGTTTAAAATTAAGACACATAAAGCTGCACATCTTTCACAGAATATTTGCCATTTCCCTCCCTCATTTCAGCTTTACTTTTAAGTGTCCTTTTCCAGAAGGTACAGTGTGAAGCATGACAGCAAACGAGGAAGTATTTCGGCTGTCACAGAAGATCAAATCAGCCGGTTCAAACCACAAGGCAAGTGCAGCAGTGGTGGCTGCACACACACACAGTGACTGTGCCAGTTATGCTCACACGGCTTCAGCTCTCTGCAAAACTCGCAGGGGTAGAAAACGCCAGCAAGCAAACAGAAAACTGTGAGGAAGACACCTGACAACAGAAACCAGTTGTTTTGTCCCAATCTGCTCTAGTGGGCAGCTGGAGATAAAAAAAAGTGATCCGCAATCCTCATTAGAGCGCCGTCAGCGGGGTGAGACTCCGGCACTGTGAGTCAGACTGCAGGCAGATAATGAAGACTCAAAGCTCAATTTGGGAGACAAATTTCTCCCTGGCTGTATGTCCTGTGATCTGTGGTGGGGTATTATTAGACCGAGGAGTGTGGAGAGCTGGACCGTATCTGGCGCACGGCGACAAACCAGATCCCGGTCTAAGTTTGCCTACTGTTACATAAAGGATCTGCAACGCTAGTTTCCGATTACCAGCTAAATAAAATGAAATCATCTCTGCTAACTGGTCATGTGGCATTAGTAGAGTGTGTTTATTGGCTGCGGGCCGGCCTGAGCGTTGCTGCTATCAGCGTGGCATCTCCAGTAAGATGTTGTTCAGATGCCAGGAGCAGCCACTTAATGAACAAGCATGGAAACTGTGACTAAGCTTTGTGCGTCTCTGCTGGTGCTGAGAGTGAATGCACGGTCTGCTTCCTGCCTTGACCACCCACATAGGAAGGGAGTCGACATATTCACATAAATGCGGCCTCATTCACATCACAGCTTATTTTTCACATAAAGGAAATAGCTCACAGATTTGTTAGGTGTGGCTCAGCACCTATAATGTGAGTACGAACGGGCTCGTTTGTGCTAGACGAGGTGCGAAACAAAAGAAAAGGCTCTTTTATGTTGAGATGGGAACATTCTTTTTTTTTTTTCAAAAGCATGCAAGTAAAACGACTTTGCGGTTGACAGTCAGACCAGCACGGAAATGAACAGAGGTACAGATGTGTCCATGAGGCGCCAGAGCGTGACAGGTTTGTTACCTCTTCCTTCTGGCAGCTTCTGAGGTTTTATTGGAGGAAAAAGAAGTCAAATAGTAGGCAAAGTCTAATTTCCTCTGCTGAAAGTCTGAATGCAAGAATGCCAAATATGAAATCAAAAGTTTGAAAAACAAAGCTCAGTGGCTTCTATCACATGCACAGACTGAGGTATTCACACAGCCTCAAACACATATAGACACAGGAAGGAGTCGGTGCAGCACATCAGGGAGTGTTTACTAGATACCAAAGTGTGTAGTTTAACAGCACTTTCATAAAACCAGAGGGCTGCAGTCACGATGTGACGACCGAATTTGCCTGTGGTGTTGCAAATGAGGCCTGTGCACTCTGTTTCTGGTGTTTCCTTAGAAACTGAGTGTTGTCTCCTCATAGCAACAACATCACAATTGCTTTCACCACAGGAAACCTCAAAGAGGAAATTCAGTTAGCGAAATCACCTTCCAAGAGATGATGGCTCGGCCTGCCCACAAGTCCACGACCACTGAGAGGATAAATGTTTCCACTGAGCTCTGTGCCTACCCCTGGCTGCTCTCAGAAACACTGTCTGCTTGATGATAACATTGAGCCGCAGCACGAGCTTTGCATGTGGAAAAGATCAGTGAACGGCGAGGGAGCGTGCCTCCTTATCAATCTGCTGCTTCGGAGGAAGAAACAAGAGGAATGCCATTTTGAAGTTGGTGATAATTTTCACAGGAAAGATTTTTTTTTTCCTTTGTTGTCTTAAGGTCAGCAGAGGAAGAGCATGCAGTGAGCCGAGTCTCTCGCAGTGGGATTAAAGCTGGTATGAAAATCAACTGGATCTTGTAGTCAAAACATAAGCAAAGTATCACATCCAACATTGTTTCAGTATAGTTTTTGTTCCCTCCTCCACCAAGCCGAGCCAGCGAAAAGTGGCCTGCTCAAGATGATAACTAATTTTCTTAACCTCTTTGGCAACAGCTACACGGAAAGCTGGCAAAAGACCAAACACCAGCTGTCTGTCTTCACTTGTTGTCATTTTGAAAAATACTTTCCTTTTTTTTTTTTTTCCCACAGACTTAGTTCCAAAGAATTATTCTACTTTTATGGGTGTGGTCAACCTGTGGTTAGCGTAGCTTAGCATAAAAAGCATCGAGCATGGCTCAGTCCAAAGTTAAAACTACAAACCAAAAAAATGTCTATCAGCCCCTGTAAAGCAATATCATGTTCAAACATTGCACAACCAGAAAAGTGGCTGTGGCTTTGTGGATAGTTATGTGGTGCAGCTTTATTTGTCTCTTTACTTCTGTAGAACATCGCACCTGGTTGCCTAGCAACCTAATGGTGACAACAACACCCTGGGAAGTCCCTACGATGAACTGCTGTTTGCCAAGAAATAGATAAAGACGTAACTTCCCCTAAAGCCGCAAACTGTCATCTAGGCTCGCTGTTTATGCTCATCTTTGCTAATTGCCTTCTAGATCCAGCTTCAAGGGAACAGAGGGATATTTCGGGAAGCAAACTTTTATTTACACGAGAAGACTGATGCCACTATCATGTTTGTATACTAAATACGAAGCAGTCTTCTACGGCTTTGATTTGTTTAGCATGAAGAACATACGGACAATTGATTTTGGCTCCAGACAAAATACTACCGGTACCACTAATGAACACGTTTTATGTAGTTTGTTGTAACATGTTGTAAGTGTAAAAGCACGTCCATGTTGATGCTAGAAGGCTCATCAGTGCATGTATTTATATCGGAAGCTTCATAGCGTTAATGTTGACAGCACTTGTATTTACTCTTGTTTTATTGAATCCATCTTAATTTTCTCTTTTATTTGTTGCTCCCTTTCCCTCAAAAATAAAAACAGATTGCAGGACATCGTAAGCAAAATTGCAAGGATCAACCTGAATGATCTGTATCAAAACAGACCTTTAATTAAGGTCCGTTCAATGCTTATGGCTCAGAGCCACCCCTTACGGATCAGAGCCACCTCTTACGGATCAGAGCCACCCCCTGGCTTGTGAGTTCCTGCTGCTTCCGTCAGGTACATCCTGTCAAAGTGCAGAACTAACAGACACAAGTGTTCTGGCGTCCCTGCTGCCATTGCTCTGCTGAACAAGTAGATCTACTTTCTGTTTTATTTATTTATCATCATCTCTTTGCTATGTATTGTTGTTTCTGTGCGATTGTTATTGTTTTACTGCTGGCTGCATAGCAAATTACCCCCACAGGGACAATAAAGACTCCTTGAACCTTGAACCTCCTTGAAACAACAATTGGTAGTTTTACAGGGTTGTTGTTGGCTTATTTCACGACCAGGCGTCGTAACTTAATGGAGTCATAACTGCTCTCAGCTCAGAAAATCTGGCTCATAGTCCACATAAAATGGAAAATTGTCATTTCTATGCTTGTGTTTTTAACAAATGAGACAATGAACATGTTACTTAACAAGATTTAGAGAAGCTGTTTGGTAACTTTTCTTACTTTTAGACACAAGTCACTTGTTTCCGCATTTTCAGTCTACACGCTAACCTACGATAACAGATATCTGTGGTCTCAATCTTGTCCTGTAAAGGCGACTGTGCAGCTAACTTCTGGTAAACTGTAGCGAAACGACGTCAACAGAAAACAGCACATTAAAGCAGAGACACACCGTCATCCATGTGCATAGGTCACATAAACGTTTTATGACTCCATCGT